GCTGTGCAAAAGTTTGGGCACCCTTTCAGTTGTGTTGATTTGAATGCTTGTAGTCACTTAATGCTTATGCTTAATGATTGGTTGCAACACAAAATTAATTTGACTGGCTCAATGAACCTTAACATTGCAAACAGTCATGAAAAAGGATGTTTAAGGTAGCTAATTGCTAGCTTTGCTTCTCTACTTGAACGTAACAACATGGGAACCTCAAAAGAACTCGAATAACCTAAGCGCTATATGAATGAGTATACAAAAAATGATCACAAAGGTTTAAGGTGTCTGCCTCCACAGTCAGAAATATAGAAAATAAAAGGCCACAGGAACAGTCCTTGTGAAGGACAGATGTGTTAGGCCGAGAAAAATATCTGAAATGCAAAGGCGAAGAATGGTTAGAATGGTCACAGACCACCTCCAAAGAGCTCCAAGAAGATCTTGCTGCTGATGACATTATCAGTGGATAGGGTGACGTGGAAAAAGCCTTTGTGTACTGCCAACAAGCAGAGTCGTTTGAGGTATGCAAAAGCTCATCTGGACAAGCCAGAATTATTTTGGAATAATGTGTTGTGGACAGATGAAAGAGTTATTTGGTCACTTTGCATGGCGGAAAAATAATACTGCGTCCCAGGAGAAGAACTTGCTCCCTAGTAAAATTTGGTGGAGGGTCCATCATGCTGTGGGGCTGTGTGGAAAGCACAGGTACTGGAAACCTCGTCAGAGTTGAGGGTCACATGGATTCCATCCAGTATCAGCAGATTCTCAAAAACAATGTTCAAGCATCAGTCGAGAGGTTGAAGTTATGCCGGGGATGTTTGTTTCAGCAGGACAATGACTCAAAGCATTGTTCCAAATCTACCAAGGAATTCATCCACAGATACAATGTTCTAGAACGGCCATCCCAGTCCCCAGACTCATCGAAAGTCCCCAGACCATCCCAGTCCCCAGACATCATCGAAAATCTATGGAATGATTTCAAGCGGGCTGCCCATGCTCAGCAGCCATCAAACCTGACTGAACTAATGACATTTCGCAAGGAAGAATGGTTCAAAATACCGAGATGGTCTTCACTGCAGAACACAAGATCCAGGGGGCATGGTTAGATCCAGATCCAACTCCTCCCACCTTACACATACCCAAACCTACCCATCTCCACCCCCTAGATATGGATCCAATCACGCCCCCTGGATCTTGTATTCTGCAGTGAGGGGCTACTGAAAATACCTGCAGACAGGATTCAGGGTCCCATCAGTGGCTATAAAAAGCATCTACAAGCCGTTATTTAAAAAAGGTGGCTCAATATTGATGCCATTATTCCATTGGGGTGCCCACATTTTTGCACCTCAGTGCTTTTATGATTCACATTGCATCGTTTCTATTGATTCAAAAAATGTTACTTCAGAACTGAAATGCTACGGTCTCCATAAGATATATCCAAATGAAGTTGCTGCTTCGAAAGCCCAGCAGCTTATAAATTAAAATGATGATAATTATCAGGGGCGCCTAAACTTTTGCATAAAACGGTATTATGTGAAAATACATATGCATTTAGTGTGGGTTTAGGGTTAACGAAAAGTAGATACATAATCGCAAGCTATAGAAAAAATACCTATGCATTATTTATATACACATATGAACATATGTATATTATATTGTTTTAATTAATAACATATATTAAATTGTGCAGTATGTATATGTGTCTTTCTATCTAAGCATTAAAATATCTTATATTAGTCGATCACTATTTAACATGAACACTCGTCATTCCTTTTTATTTCATTAAGAAATGAAGAGCAACTTCAGAAACCGAACAAAAGCATGCTTCTTCTACAATGAATGTTTTATTTTTTTC